AACCAGTATGCACTCTTTTAAACAGCTACATGAAACAAAGTGCCACACAGCCCCTCAGAAAAGAATGTCCATAAGTACTAGCGAGGATAAATATATTGGCCAGATTGCTCAATTAAACTATGGAGAAATCTAGAGTCAGATATATAGCTTCTTTGAACACTTGGAGAGACAAAGTAGATTTTTAAAAAAAGGAATTTCAGGACAGAGACTGATTAATGCAAAATGTTAAGCACTCCTGAACTAAGTGTCACAAAGGAGAATACACATCATTGCTGTTTGCTGTATGTAGTGTCAGCTTCCAGCCCTAGCAATTTGCAGACTTGTACAGTACCTGTAAAATGTATTTAACTCTTGTGCAATAACCATGAAAACTTAAGGAATCATTACGTTTTACTGCAAACTTCCTGCCCTCTTGTTCATTTGGAGGAATACCTAAAAATTTTCATTGATAATATGCATACACACTTCTGTTCTCTTCTAACTCTGACAAACCATCTAACAGAATCTACTATAACGGGATTAAGGGATCAGGCCGCAATCTGAAATCTTTTCCGAAGCTAAAAACATTGATGACCGTTACAGAGTGCAAAAGGTACATTCTTTATTCTGCTATACATTTAGATACAGAATAAAATTTGACTTCTCAAAATATAAAACTAATGGCAGCCCTGCAAGCTGTCAATTGGCTTTTGAGGATAAAGCACATGTAACTTTTCCAGTTTTTATTGCACATCATGTACAGGTGTGATTTTTTTATTTACATGTGTTTGGGTAATGTCCATTTTTCCTAGTACACACTGTGTTCCACAAACAAAAACTTTAAATTATTCAAACATTCTGTCACAATACAATTTAAAGGATATTTATATATTAAAAATTCTTCTGTACTCATTAGTTCCCCAGATGCTAATAATTTGTCTGGGGAGTAGTTTCTCCTGTTTCAATTACGTGTTAAAAAAAGACATAAAATGGTTGGCAAAATGTGAATACTACAAGAAAGCCATCTGTAGCTTCTCCAATACCCACTTTCAAGGCAGAAGTATTAAACCTGCAGCTAGTGAGCAAGTAGTGTGAAAAGAACCAGAGCACCATTCTTTTGTTAACCAGTTTGATTCAACATTGATCACCACATAAAATATTTAACTGGCAATTGTGTTCAACTGTACAGCAGAATTGAAGATAGGAATCCCAAGTACAATAAATACATAATTTGTAGCCAAGGAATGTTTTAAAACAATGCCCCTATCTTTATTCTATGCAATGGGCTGTTTCAGAAACCTTTGTCAAAATATACAACCATACTTGTTATGTGTTTACTGGATTACATTATACTGTCCAGTTAGCATTTACTATATAAATTATTTCAGAAGGCCCCATGTCCTGAAAAAATTCAGCTCTCCAATACTGGAAGTTTAGTACTTCAACCAAACCTCTAACTTGCTGTGCAAATTACACTTTGACAGCAAAAGTCATACCTGATCTTTATATATGATTAACTATTATAAGTATATAGCATGATCCAAAGTGCATTTCTTGGACAACCAACAAATTCGTGGGACATACTCTTGAGTAAATACGCTAAGGACTATCACTTTATCTAGGTATTTATGTATCAATTGATTAATTTTTTCAGTAGTATAACTGACTTTTATTACAATCTTTAACATTAGAACTATTCTTCTGTTTACACTCTTTACACGGAGTTTTACCATTGTCTAGTTACATATGAACAATGTTCTTATAACTTACTTAATTTAAATCTTTTTAATGCATGAGAAACAGCCACAAATACTTCCCATGTCTTTTCTTCCGAAAGAAACACATAGCTATCAATAAATTTTAGTCAAACGCAGGCATGCCCTGGTGCAAGTGGTGATAAAAAATGTCACTAAGGTCCTCAGACAGAGATTCATCACTGCACCACCAAAATAAATTGTATTATTTTTCTTGTGAGACTATGGCAGGGAACAAAACCACACTTTGCCCATACTGCACATAGGCTCTAACAGCAGCTCTCCCCCCACTTGGTGGGGGTGGGGTGTGATCAGCTAGAGCACTGCTCCACGAAACACAACAAACTGGCCCTGGAGAAAATAATACCTGTGCTCCCATATGTAAATGGAAATACTTTCTTCCTACACACAGTGGAGTTTGCATATTACCCTGTACAGGGAATGCAAGAGGCATTAATTACATAAAAATAGCCATTCCTCACTGTCCATATTCTAAAATTTTTAATCAATATTAGTTGCTGTTTCAAATAAATGTGTACATATCCTTGACTTTAGATATCATAAAATTTTAACATCCTTTAAACCCTTAAAGCATATTGATTATAATTTTATAGCTACAATACTGAAGTGGATCATAAAGCTTCACTGTAAATACCTGTTTACATTTTATCCTGCCTAAGAGGACAGTTTAGTAGGGTGTGCTTCCCCCCCCCCCGCAGATAATCACAAATATGGAGTGTTCTTGGAGAACATTAAGCACTGAGCCTCTGGATTTAAATCGTTTGGATTTTTTAATTGTGTCCATTAGACATGCTTATTAAAGAAGAGTACTTTTCAGATGCATCATCCCGTCTCCACCTAGCAATACATGATGGATTTTATACGTGTTATATAACATGTATTATGAAGCATACAGCTGAACATGGCAGTGGCAAGCATTTTAAAAACGCTAAGGAAAACTGATTTACTCATGTGCCACCCCACCTCATTTCTTCTCCTAAATGGCCAAACTCCAACCTACTTTTAAAGCCCCTTTTCATTCTAAGATAGCCAAAAGTACATGGAATGAAAGAGGATAAACTGATCTCAAACATAGAAAATATTCAAAAGCCACTCTTTTCTAATGAAGTCTCCAGTAAAGAAAGTTTAAATTATTACTGCTTACATACCTGCACTCATTTTGATAATGTCATCCACAAGAACAAACATCTCAGATAACGGTCTTAGTAGTAGCCATAAATGGTACTACTTCAATGGTTTATTGTGTACTTTTTGCAGCTAGTACAAAATAACCTGTTTTGGATTTTTATACACTCCCCTGAGCTAAGTGGTGTTCGGACACTACAGTAGATTTATGAAGAAGTCTGCTGACCTAAAGATACTTGAGTTTTGTTCAAACTGCTTATGAGCAGTTGAAGTGAAATCAGTAAAATTACCTCAGAATTATGTAGTCAAAAAACTGCATCAAATGGCTGCAGGATCACAAAGTAATTTTTAAGAGTTACAAAATAAAGAGGCAAATTCTCCCAGTTTTATCAGTATAAAATATTTCCTACTTTAGACATATTCAAAACAGGTTATAAGATAGGAGACATGTTTTGAATGCTGAATCATACTTTTAATTACAAAATTTCCAGGCACATTTAATGTGGCCTCAGAATGGTTCAACAAAGAATCAAACTGGTTTCTCTGGGCAGAAAGTAACTATCTACCATATCTTTGCGCTTATGCCGTGAGCTGACAGTGATTATTTCAGAGAAGGAAAGTGTGGAATTAGTAATGCAAATGCTAAAAGGCAGGTGGCAAGACTCTAGAAGAATGCTTTCAATAATGCTACTTTGTTCCCAAAATCTACTGGCACCGACCCCCAAAGTAAGAGGCCAGAATGACCAAAGCCAATTTAATAGTAGTGTGCAGAATGTCAGCCAAACAAACAACATAAAACAAGTCACGTTGTGTTATCTGTGGTCACGTTCTTCAGGGTTAGTCCAATAACTCAAGACTTTACATTCTTCCGTCTTTCTTTGTTTATTTTAATTAAACATGTAATGGTTAATAAACTGACATAGTCCAGAGTTAGTAGGTTGATATTATAACATTTATTAAAATAATGCTATGGGTTAATAGAAACAGCAAAGAACCAAAGAATTAAAATGCAAGCTATGTAAAAACCCAACTAAAACCCAAATATGTCTAATGTATTCAATCCAGTAGCTAACTAAAAGCCCAAGAAAGACAACACTCCCAATATAATAATAAAGTACTGCAAAACAATTGGCAATTTTCAGTTATCAAAATTGTGGGTTTTGCATTTTTGTATCCTTTTCTCAGTCAGGAAAAAAATTCTTCTGAATGTTATATAACATACATATAAAACAAGATAGAAAAATACATTATAAACTTGTAACAATGGCTGTAAATACATTATCTTACATGTTTCTCATAGGCAATAGGTTGGTTATGGTACATACATAGCATCAAACTAAGATAAAGAATAGACAAATACATGTCATCTGTACGGTTACATACAAGCGACACTCCCATATACCCACTCTAAAAAAATTACATAATACTGTCAGAAAAAAGTCTTAAAACTACATATTTTAATAAAAGAAAAATTCAGGAAGTGATAATACTGAGAACCAAGGCATTCAGAGATTTCAAAATTCATGCTTTAAGTTGATCAAAAATGTTGTCAACTAAGTCTTCAAACTTTTTCCAGAACAAACATTACTATTACAAATCACACTTCTCCCAATAAGAGACCTTTGATCAGCATCTAAAAATGTCCAGGTTTATCATAGTTGAGATGAAACTGGATCAAATACTGGTAATGTGTGTTTTTTTAAACAATTCTCTCTTCAAAATGTTTGAGTGTCGCAAGTTTATTCAACCAAACAAAAATCAAAATGGCACAGCATATATTGAAAGTCAAACCAAAACAACCCTATGTGTAACAGGAAGACAAAGCCAGTGGCAGAATAAAAGAAAAGCTAGCTGAGTACAAAAGGATGAATGTTTATTGCATAGTAAATAAACTGATACTTGTTTCCAGGTGAGACACAATGTTAGACAGAGTCACCATGCAGGTGCTTAAAAAAATAAGCCCTCTTACCTAACTTACTATTGACCTTTGATTCGGAAGCTGTGAACGTTTTTAGGAGGATAAGAAGTTGACACTGGAGGGGGAAAGTTATTGCCTGATATTTGCCAAATATGATTAAGCCATTAGCACACCACTATTCACTCATTATTTTTATGATTCACTTTTGTGCGTAAAGTGTTTCACACTAGCCCAGTTCTATGAATTTATCTTGATACCAGAAGCATGACTGGACTTTCAAGATAGTTAACTGATACTTTTTATCTTTTCAGTAACGCGCAACCGGCAGTTAACATTCATCAAGTTTGATGAGAATTATGCACTGTGCACACTATTTGGCATTGTAGAGCAAACACCTAAAAACTTAAAACGTGTTTAAAAGATAGATGGCCAGTATGAATGTTTAATTTAATCACTGAAACAATTATTCTGTAGCAAGTTCAAGTTCTGCTGTACTTTCCCACATCTATTTCAAATAGAAACAGTACAACTGAATCCAAAGGGAAAAAATTAACACTTGCTACTGTATAAATACTGTCATTTAATGCTTTTATTTATAATGAGTGAGTCTTAGAACCCTTTGGTTTAAGGCTGAGTAAGTACTATAAAAATATACTGTCTACAATTGAAGAGGGAACATGTTACAAAAATATTGTGGCTGGCTGTTGGTGGTACAATTCTATTTCACAGTATATATCCTGGCAAAGTTACTTCACGTTATGGCAAACATCAGGTAATTTAAATGGTCAACTTATTTGTCTTTCTTCACAGCTTCTTTTCACATACTGGGCGACTGAGTGGCATGCATTTACTTGCTGTCTGAGGGAGGAGCTGATTATACGAGACATCTGACTAAATGACCATGAAGAAAATAAGGCACTTTCTTTTCTTTATACTTATTCCAATACTTAAAAAATAAAAAAGAAAGACAAAAAGGCTCTTTTGGTCTTTTGTTTCTCGACAACCACCAGAAAAAATCATTTAATGAAATAAAGGGTTTCTTTGTTCTTTTTCTTTTTTATAACACTTGAAAGTATAAAATGCTACATTTCCAAAAATATATTTTTTTCTGCACCAGCACCCTTGTATAGTAAAAGTATCTACTTTTTCAATTTGTTTCAATGCACTACACTTTATCTACAATTTCATTACATGTATACAGCAAATAGGCAAGCATGGCTTTTACATCCTTAATGAATTTTCTCTATACAGGGAGGTTTAAAAAAATATTTGAACAGTTTGCCCAGTAATGTGAGACATAATGCATGTACCTTGTACTCGTGTAATCTTTTAAGGAAGTTGTATAGTAAAAGGAACTTTATCTCAGGTTTAGCTTAAATAGTGTTGCTGTTTTGTTTATGCATTGATGTAGTTCAAAAATTCAGTAACCTATCTTTCATGGCACTTTTTTTCTTCTTAAAAACACCCAATTTGGCAGGTAATATAAAAAAGGCTGCATCTTCTGCCCTTTGAGGGCACTGGTAGTGACTACACTGCATGTCAAATTTTGAATACTTTTAGGAATCCCTTCACCAATGACATCCCTGACCAAAGGTTCATGCATGATGCATCATCACACAGTACATTCAAAGAGAGCTTTGACTTCTTTATGAGAAGAAAAAGATTCCTAGAAGTCTCACAGTAACTGCCTCTGTCATCAGGGAGTTAAGGGACATCTGCCTTCATCTCTGAAGTGAGGCCCTTCTTACCATTCATTTGGGGTGGGACACTAAAGGATGATCAGTGCGGAGGGATGAATTGGACCTTATTGCTTTACTACTATTCAGTGCAGGTTCTAGAACCACTTTCACCCAAACAGGGAAAAAAAGTTGAGTTGGAGGACAAGTTCTTTGTCTTTTGTTAGATGGTAAGACGAACGGACAAGTGCCTCAGCTCGCTGCACTGAAGACAGGCAAGCAAAGGCGATTACCAGTTAACTGATCAGCAGGCAGGCATGGTCAGGTCATCATTGGGTGAAGAGTTCAGAGGTCAGAAGGTCATAGGTTAGTTGCCGGTGGCGGCTGGGTGGTTAGAAACAAAACAAAACAAAAAGAAAGAAAGATAGAGAAGAGATTAGTTTCAGCTAGTGACGGCTTAATGACAACATGAAAACTAATCACAACTAATAAAAACAAGCATGTTTAATTCTGACATACTGCTTGACACCATCTACAGAATGCAATAAAAATCATGACAGCGCAGTATCATGATTTGAACATGTGAAGGAGAAGCCCACTCCCACAAAACTGGTTAACAAGAAAAAATAGAAATAAAATATAACAACTAATGGTTAGTAGCAGTCGATGAAAGAAAACAAACAAAAAACCAATGAACAGTTTCTGGAACTTGGTAAAAGAATTTAAAACAGTCAGTGTACCAATCAGTATCTGACTGCTATTAAGCATTAGTATTTTCCCATCTGCAAGCATCAAAGCAACTAGTAATGATGAATGTGATTATTAATAACTGGTTGTTAAAAGAAATGAATCTAAGGATTTGTCATGAACAATTTGGTTCCACATAAACTTTGGGCCAAACAAGGGATTTTTGTTCAATAAATTTTATTGCTTTTCAATTATTCTATTTACAAACAACATTGAATTTCTTGGCTTCATGATACAAAGCAATACTAAATTGTAGTCTAGAAGTGTAGGCATCATCATGGGAACCAGGAAAAGGCCAAAGAGCCTTTTCCTGCTGAAAATGCTATTTTACATATATAGGACGCTAAGAAAATGCACTTGCATGTAAACACTGTAAAAGTCCTGCCATTTTAAATTCTATACTTAAAATGCTCTAGTTACATCAAAAATAGAGGAAATCTAATTGATACTAATAAGGCATTTTAAAAACTACAAACAGCTCTTTATTTTCAAGCTAATACTCTGCAAATACAATAAAATCTGACATTTCATATACATTGCTGCTTTATATTTTTATATTTTAAAAGAAGCCACCTGTAAATACTATTTTCTTTTCCAAAACACACAAAAATTACAGTAAAACATAAAAAAGTTCTCAAGTGGAAAGTTATCATTCTCAATGTTCTTGAGCTGTTCCTTCTTTAATGACTCTCTCACATTCTCCTTCAACAACTTGGTCCACTTTACAGTAGTACAAATTTTAAGACTCATTCAACAGCTTAATCATCTCTAATAAATTCTGAGGTTTGATAAGAGTATTTGTACTGTTGCCATTGACTAAAGCAGAGGAGATGAAAGTGAGAAAGGTATTCAGTGCAAAGTCAGATTTGTGCCATTTCATAAAATTAAATCAGTAGGCGCAATGTTCACAGATAGCACACTTTTTAATGACCTACATCATGGGTAGGATTTACTTTCACATGGTAAATTGTTTCTGTAGCCTATCATTTAGGCTACAGTTCATGAACACTAAACATTATTGCTGTATCTTAAATGAGACCTTCTGTTCCCTGATTCTTTTTTTTTTTGAAAAAAAAATCTGAAAAGTGGGATTTAAGTTAAAAATGTTGTAAAAAATAAAAATAAAATAAAAATAAATATTTAACGTGGCACAATCTTGCCACCTTAAAATGTATACTAGGTATTCGGAATCTTAAAGCATTCTTGGTACTTACTACAATTTTGATTTAAAAAGGTATTACAATTTTATATATAAATTATGAGACAATTGGCTTCAGAAAAAAACATTCAATTATAGTCTTAGCATTGCCATTCTTGTGGTATATATAATCAATGCAAGCTATTTTAAGATACCAGTACACCTGTGATACATCCTCTGCCAAGTCCCTGACCTTCTACAGTACACACAGGTTTGTCAACTGTGCAACACCATTTACAGTTTATTACAATTAAATCAGTCAGTTTCTCAGTTACATGAATCAAATTCAGTTTTGTATTATTTATATAGCAGTGCCTTAACCCTAGCAGAAATTTAGTAAGTACTGCTGAATTCTTCAATTCTAAACCGAGAGAATGAATACTGACATACTGGGGGCTCTTGCTTTAAACACAATGCTTACATGTAAGCCAACACTAAGAATAAAAGCTTGCTTAATGAGAAAACATGACAATAGCTTTACAATTTTCAAAAGATTTTTTAACTGCAGACCCAAATCAATCTGCTTATAGCTTTTTCTCATGACAAGAAAGCATTTCGGTTTACTGACATGTTTTAACTAATACCGGTAATGGACAAAACAAAGCATGTATTTACAAGTTAAATGGAAAGTGCTCATTAATTTTAGAATGTTTATACTAAAATTTCTTCTTGGTTTTCTGTAGGCCAGAAGTTTAATAAATCCTGAACTAGATACCAAGAGATATTCTTAACTGCAGTAGTCTTCTGCTCAACTTTATGAAATCTGAAATTATCTGCTATGTTCGCTAATGATACATACTATTAAATCACACAGCACCATTAAAGAAAACGTCCCATCAGTAATACTAAAGGAGAAAGAGTTACATGTCATCATTCATAAGGCACTTGAGAATCTCTCACTAACAAAAATAACTGCAAATGTTACATGTATTTAAGACCATTATAAATAAAACTACAAACCCTGCTGCTACAAATTATTTGAGGAGAAAAATCTGACCAAAGAAGTCTGCAAAATGTTTTCTGATGTGCAGATCATAATGATGAAAGAGCAGGTGGCAATATAGCCTCTTTTTAAATGAAGACATAGTTGCCAAGACTTTCAGGTACAAAAGCTACAGCAAGAAGATTCAGAAAAGAACCTTCCCTATCTTCTCTGACACATATGATTGGGGTGATGGTGGCGGTAAGAGATCATGACTCCATTCTTGACCAGGCACACCTATACCACATCCCAACCTTGGACAGTATAACATTCAGATAGGGTATATGTATGCATTACCAGTGTATATCAGCCTGAATCATGTGATCAATTCCCTCCTCAAAAATCCAGGAGTCAAACAAACAATTCAGGCCTACATGCATTTGATTTTACATCTATTCACCCTATTCTAATGTACTCACAGG